TATATATATATATATGATCTATTGAACTTAACGTGTCCTACTAAAATAAGATTACTAAAACTCAAATTTTAGGTACAATAATAGAAAAATATTTTTATTAATAGTTTTAACAAAAAGGTAATATATGTTGGCTAATAGACTAGAGAAATATCCATCCTGATCTGCGACCCGATCCTGATCCTAGTTTTTCTTCCAAACTATTCCTATAAGATTAGCTTCACCCAAAACATCCATCCTATCTCCCTTCGATAATAAAAAAATGGTATAAGATTTACATTAAAAAGAAAAAAAACATATTTGGAGAGCAAATCAAAGAGTTATGTGTAAATAAATAATCTCAAATGGAAAATTACGACATGCATGTTTAAATAAATCTGCTTATAAACGTTTTTAATGAAAAAGAAATTACAAAACAAAATAAAATTTTTCCTAAACTAAAATTAGCTTATATATTAATTAAAAATTTGAAGGCGTTAATATATGATAACTTCTATAACTATTTTTTTTAGTGAAAAATGGTAAACAAAAAGGCACTTTCTAATATTATTGGGTTTAGGGAATATTGTTCGAAACGCAAACATTTTCACCTGGTTGTAGTTATTCAACTAGTCTCTAGACACTAGGAAATCTTCCTCAGGAGTGTTGCTTACCAAGCAAGAAAAGTGGTTTCAAGATGATTCGAATCCACAATCATGGGTACGGTGAAAGTTTAATGTAGACCTTAACCACTTGTATCAATTCATATTGACATAACTTGTATAAGTTAATTAAACTTAACTTATCTTTTCATTTTAAATTTTTTTATTTAAATATATTTTTAATTTTTAAAATATATCTTTTTTTTTCTTTTATTTCTTGAGAATTTTTTTGCTTAACTCATTATAATTTCTTTTTTATTTTAGTTTGAGTTGTAATATTTTTCACTATTTTGGATGACGTGTTAAATATTAGGTGACTTAACATTAACATTAATTAGATAATTGACATGTCATCCAAAATAGTGAAGAAAAGGTTATGAAAAAAACTAAAAACAAAAACAAAAAAAAAATATTTTTGAGGGTCAAAAGTTAAACAAAATATTTTTAGGTACCAAAAGTGAAAAAAGGTAATTTTAGAAAAAAAATATATATTTAAGCAAAAACAAATTCATCGAAGAAAGTATACTTTTCACTTAATTTCAATAAAAACCCACTTGTCACCACAAATCCAATTTTACAAAATCTGATCCAATACAAACTTAATGCGACAATACTTTTGGGCGAACGGAGAATTTTCTAAACAGAAAATTGCACAAACTAATAGTTTGAAAATTATTAACCCTTAAGTAATAGAACAATTCTATTCCTACATAATAATTTTACAAATAATTCTGACCCTTTCAGGAAGAGAGACTGAAAGGAAAAAAATAGTGTAAAATAAGATAACTATGTGATGTCAAAAAAATAAAACATAATATTATAAACAGAGCAGATACACTGTATAATATAACATGTCGGATTATGATAATTAAAAGTTCACTCCAAATGAAATAGAAATGATATTGACGAAAATAGAATGTATTTATAAGTTTTCTAACATCTCATCACATATAAGGAGGGGAACCTAACCTTTGACAACGCTTAGTAACAAGAGCAGTGTGCTAGTTGGCTGTGGTGAAAGCAGAGGACCTACAACGAAAGAAGGGTTAACCACCACTAGATCGATGCCACTTTCCTTTGCAATCCTCCAAGCTTCTCTCTCCGCTATTGTCTTTGCATATGCATACCACAACTGCATTTTTGTAAGAGTTCAATACAATAATGTCAACTGAACAAAGACAAGGCGACACGTTTCATTGATATGTAATGTTTCGTGTCTTCAAATGTGACAATATATTTCATGCACTGTATAAAGTTATGTAGAAATTGTAATTACGTTATAGCGTTTGCAGTACTCTAGATCAGTCCAATGAGATTCGTTAAGAGGAGACACGTGTTGCACATCATCACGGTATCTTATGGTAGAACAAGAAGATGTGAGCACAAAACGTTTCACATTTGCTTTTACGCAGGAGTTAAGCACGTTCAAGGTTCCTTTGATACAGGGATCAATCAAATTCGCCTGCAACATTATACAAATCATAATGTATAATGGAGTTAATTATTGGAGTTAAAAGAAGAAGAAACAACGTTTATGTTCTGTTATTTTTGTTATCCTTTTTTCTCTTCTTTGTATTCCTGTTTTGGGTCCTTATCCTATTGCAATAGAAGAAATATTTTCTTGTATTTCCTATATTCAATGATAACACATTGTTCAGTATCTTTCCTTTCAAATGATAATACTAATAATAAAGAAAAGTATGCATTTAAAATATATACACTTTAATAACTCTCGTTTTTCTATAAAGATAACAACAAACTTCATGCTTCGTCAAAACAGCAAAGGATGCTCATATTTTTCTCTGCTCATCAATCCCTCGCAAAGCATCTCAGATAGCTGAATCCGGGTTTAACAAGAATTATTCAAACACAATTTCTATTTGATTATTGTGAAATAAATTAATTAACATCATGTCAAGTGTTGTAAATTTTATTCAATAACTCATACATTAAATTTTAATAATATATATACAGAGAGAAAGGGAGAATTAACTAACTCTCAGCATGACTCTTTAAAGTTACTCTTCAACTCAGCTCTTTATTTTCTTTTAATCTAACCAGATGAATTTTAAAGATTAGTCATATGACTAATTTATTAACCTCATTTATTCATGACAAATTTTCTTAATTGACTTAAATTATTCCCGTAATTGTTTTATATTTTTTCTTTCACAATTCACTTTCTTAGTTTATGTTTCTCTTTCTTCGTTCACGTTACATTGTCTACTGGAAATTAAAAACAGAGCTAGACATTTGTGAAAACCTAAGCAAGACATTTTCGTATGTTTCTCTTTCTTCGTTCACATATATATCAATTTAACCAAAATTTAAACTGAGAGCAACATTAAATTTTGTTTCAAAATTGATTGCTCCGTTTTACTATGTACAGCTGACAGTACTGAAAATAGCAACACAAATTATTTATCATGTAAAGCTAAGCACTTAATAAACTTGATTCATTTTCATGAATTTTTAGGTCCATAAGAAACACAAAATAAAAAGTGAGGATAAAGGGGAAGATACCTGAACGTTCTCATCATATGGAACAAGAACAGGGGACGCCGTATGAAAGACACCATCAACTCCCGTCACTGCATCATCGAAGCTTCCTTCCACCGATAGATCTGCTTTCAAAATCTTCAGTCGCTCTTTGGCTCCACTTAGTTCAAAGAGAAAAGCAACCTTCTCCACATCCCCTGACAATAAAATAAAAATTAGAACAACTGTAACAAGGGAACAGAAAAACATTATTTGACAAACAAATAGAATAATGATTCAATGTATTACAAGTATAAAACTGCTACCATATGGGATATAAACCTGGGTTTCTTACTGTGGCCCTTACGGTGTGACCCTTTTCTAGTAAGGCCTTGACCAGGTAAGATGCGATGAAGCCAGTACCCCCTGTGACGCAAAACTCAGGCATGTCGATCTATTTTCTACGTTCTTGGTTTTTGGTTCTCACACTGTACATGGTTCTTATGCAGCTCCCACTTCATGAATATCGACAAACTCAAAAACCGGTAAGAGCAGGACGGTCACGTGAAATGCGTATCCTATATTTGGTGGAAGACAGATGATTCACTACGATGGGTCCCGTGATGCATGTTTCACTTTCTTTTTTATATTCCTGTGTATAATGTTGGTAATAACGAGTGAAAAATAAAAAAATTTAGACACAAAAGAAGTATATTTCCTTTACATTTTACTAGTGGAGTCGAAAAACAAAACACTAAAAAAGTATATTTAATGATAAAATTATCTAAAAAAATGTGGAGATGAACAAACAGTTACAAATCTATATATTTCTTTATATATAAGTATAAATTATAAATTACAAATTTTAGAAATTACATAAATATTAATTAAATTTATTGAATTAAAAATTAAATATCAACATGGTAGGTATCACATGGTTTATAGATAATTTACTCATTAAATAGGTAGTGAGTTGTTCTCTTTAACTTTTATGTTTATATTAATATCTATATTAATAGATAAAGAAGATATTGGTGCTTTAGTTTTCATTTTTTTTAACCAATTTTTTCCCTTGGTTGATGTGATAATCACATCTTCATCTTTCTTAATTACTTTCTTTCATTTCAAATATTACTCACAAAAATTTTGGTTTACAGCCACCATTGTATATCTTCTTAAATTTACAAGTCAATCAGTCAAGATGACATAACTACAAATAGTTACTTTTATCTACAACTACATGAAGTTACTTTTTCCTCTTCTCATCCTTTTTCTAAGCTAGTTTTTCATAATTTCTTTTCCTTCCATGAATTGCAACACAATACATTTTATTTCTCTTGATAACATTGCTTCGTTACAAGGTTGTCATAGGTATTCATCGCTAAATTCCAAGCCTAAGATCATTAAAGGCACCACTGGTTACATATTGGAGGATGTTCCACATTTGTTTGATTATGTCCCTAACATTCTAGTATGTCTTCACCACATAGCCATTATCATCTCTCTCTCTCTAAAAAGTATGTCTTTTAATATTAAAACAATGTCATTTATTTATTGAATTAATGTATCATTTTTGTTCATCTGTGTTGGTTATTAGTCTCCCCGGGTGTAGCAAGTAAGTCAATTGAAGAATTAGAGAGAACCAATGAACAGTAAACCAATTATATGTTATGTTGTGCATCTGTGTTGGTTATTAGTCTCCCCAGGTGTAGCAAGTAAGTCAGTTGAAGAATTAGAGAGAACTAATGAACAGTAAACCAATTACATGTTATGTTGTGCATCTGTGTTGGTTATTAGTCTCCCCAGGTGCAGCAAGTAAGTCAGTTGAAGAATTAGAGAGAACCAATGAACAGTAAACCAATTACATGCTACGTTGTGCATCTGTGTTGGTTATTAATCTCCCCAGGTGAAGAGTTAGAGAGAACCAATGAACAGTAAACCAATTA